ATAATTTTTCATAAAGTTTTCCAGAGTAATAGAATATGGAAATACCCTGTTTTAAATGTCAGCTTCTAAATGGAGGGAGAAGGGATTTTTCTCAGTGAATAGACAACAGCTTGGGAAGCAGGTTATCCTGGGAGAAGGAAGGAAAAAGGAGTAATGGAAGGATCACAGTTATTCTTTATAGATTCCTCCTTCCTACTTTTACTGTATGTGTAAATAAAATAAATCACAGAAGTGATTTATTTCTTCTGTGATTTCCCCCCCTGCCCCTTTTATTTTCTACCTGATCCCTGTAACCCTTCTGCTAGATCCCTGGACAATGGCATACAGCAAAAAATTCAAGAAGAAATTCTTCTTCAACAAAATGACCAATGTAGCGACATACAACCTCCTTCCTGAAGCCATTGCACCCTTTCAGTGAGTATGAGCCAGAGCTGAGGCTGTGGACAGGTGTGTGTCTGCCAGCGTGTGTGTGTGCGCGCCTGGGTGTTTGGAAGGGAGCTCTGCAGTGCTGTGTCCTTGCAGTCGTTTGCAGTGCAAGTGCAGTTGGTCACCAGAAGGGTGTGCTGCAGGAGCTGGCACCTTGTCAGGCTTTCAGGAAACTGCTGACGTGGAATCATGGATTTTGCAATTAATGGCTATGAATAACGAACATGTCACAAATTCGTTCTGCTGTCTGCAGCAGACTACAAGTTACTGAACCTCCTACATGCAGGGAAGTAGAAACTGAGCCCAGCAACTGTAGTTTGCTGCATCTCTGAATTTAACGTGTATGGTTGGAAGTTGTTAATTTAAAAGCAAATCCCAGTTCATTTAGACCAGGCTCTGGAATAACCTGTGGGAAGCTGGGAGCTTTTTTTAAAGAGAGTGAGACAGTAAAACAGTAGCTTCTTGGGAAAGGATGGAGTGGCTTGTCATTGGACAATCATTAACATTGTGGCTGCTGAAGACCATCTGTATCTACTGAGTATAAAGCTGAGGGCATTACCTAAGTACAGCAAATCCTGAGTCTGATGCCTCAGGGCTCCTGGGTGGAGATGTTCTGCACTACCACCATTACCCAGGACTGTGCCTCTGAGTAAGAACTTCACATGAAATAGCACTCCTGATTTTCTCAGTTTGAACCTCCTTACCTGTCTTAGAGCAGCACTTTCAAGAATCCTTAAGCCTTTCTTCATGTGGTGAATGGCAGAGCAGGCTTAAAAGGAGAGGCACATGATGCTTTTTCTCTCCATGTGTCAGGGTGGGGTTAGTTCTGCCTATGTACTCTGAAATAGGCCAGCATGAACCTACAGGAATGGCTGAGGAGGTGGAGGGAGTGCTTGTGTGAGACTCCAGAAAGAATGTGTTGTGGTTAGTGAGTACTAATATGTCTATAATTAGCCACTGACATGTGCTCTTGTCGCTGTGCTAGTACTGCTTTGTTAGAACAGAAGCATTAAATAAGCTATGAATATTAAGTGTCAGTAATTGTACAAAACTAAAGGCTGCTGTGTTGGCAGTAATTAGCAGCTCTGATTTCATTATGGCTGGGACTGTGTTGATGCAGTGAGGGAGTGCTGTGCTTGATGGATGGAGTGGGAGATGCCATTGTAGGACCAGAACTCTCAGCAGCAAAGCAGGGCTCAGTTATTTCACATGAGGGGAAAGAGGGAATGATCCTAGCTGCTTTTGTGCTGTGGGAAGTGCTGTTTGTTTGCAAAGCTCCATAGGACAGCTGTTACTGATTATAGTAGATATGTGGTGAGGGATTAGGTTGCTGCTCCTGGCAGACTTTCTGAATTCTTCATTAAGGTCTTTCCATTGCCTGCAATGACAGTTTCATCCTCTGAGAAACTTAGGAGGAGGTAGGGTTTTTCCCTAGTGACCTGACTCCTTCCAGAAAATACAGAACTGAATTTGATTGAAGCTAGAATTAACAAGTTTGTTTCCATGGAAATCTCTTAGGCTTGGCTGTTGCTGTACTTTGAGGGCTGTAGAGTTTGTAAGGTGAATGAATTAATGAATAAATGCACTGGTCTTTTCTAAGGCACCTGTTCTGAGTATTTCTATGTGGCTCCCATAGCAAGGGCAGGTGTCTGTCACTTGGGATGGAAGTGTTTTCTTTTCCCTTCCCTGCCAAACTAATCTTGCTCTCCTCTCTGCCCACAGTGTCTGCCATTACAGCCGCCTCTTCTGGGAATGGGGGGAAGGTGTTAAAGTGCACGACTCTCAGAAAAGACAAGATCCAGAGAAGCTATCAAAGGAGACTGTTCTGTCTTTCATCCAAGCACACTACCCCTAACCCTGCTCTCTTGAGGGTGCAGGGAGGGGCTGAGCCCAGCTTGGATTCTTCAGGGACTGATGGGACTGGGAAGGCTCCGCAACTTCTATCCTGATATTCTCCAGAGCTGATTTCCTGGAGATGATCGAACCAGAGGGTGGTATGCTGAAGGCACAGGATGAGGCTTTACCCTGGTAGTGTATATAAGAGTACAGCCCAGGTAGCACCTGGTGCCAGAGTACCTAAGGTGCCTCCTGGAGCCAAGGCCTAATGTCCTTTTATCCTGACCTGCATGCATGAGGCCAAGGGGCTGGCAGCTTTCTTTGCTCCTATTCAAACATTCAGCAAGGTTTGTGGAGCTCTGTGTGTGCCAGAACTCTCCAGGCTTCTGCTTCTCTTGCAGTGTGGGAAGGAGCAGAGATGTTTTGATGGCAGAGCTGGGCAACAGCACATGGAAGCGGCCCTGCATTGCTCCTGGCAGCTGTCTCCTTGGCCTTGTCAAAGGCTACACTCTCCAGTGGAGGGTGTTAAGTCTTTGGTGAGCTGTGGGCAAAAGTTATATATTCTTGTTGGCGTCTCCAACACTTCTGTTTATCAAGGCACTCAGCTAGCCACTGGCAATTCATATGTGATGGACGAAGGCCAATGCAGGTGATGAGTACAGTTCCTGGCATAGATCTGATGTGCTCATACCTCTGCAAGCTGCTGTGACAAGGACTTCCCCTCTCCAGGTTAGTAACTTATGCCAAGCCAGCAGCCTGGGGCTAATTTGTGGAAATGTACCATGGTTGGTGTATGTGCTTCATGGTACTCCTGAGACAAAAGTGGCTTGATTCTTGGTACTCAACATGATTACCTAAGCCTTCAGAGAGGAAAGTGGATGTGGGAGGGAAGACACAGAAAAGCTAGGATGCTGAAGTCTCTGGAAGAAATGATGGGAATGTCTAGCTTAGTTAAAAAGACCCAGGGCTTCAGTAGAAAGATATCTTGACTTTAACCATGTAGGTTAATAAGAAGCAATCCTGTCCCCTGACTGTGCCCACTGGAAAGGTTACCAGACTTTCCTTTTAAAATATCAGAGAGGCTTTGAAATCCTCTGTATCTCATTTGACTCTGGAACTGCATCTGAGGTGAAGGCACGGAGCCAGGAAACTCCTCCCAGTATGGCATTTGTGTCAAGACTTCTCCATGCACTTCTGTGCCAGGCTCAAAGTTGGCTTCTGTTGCATGTTTTACCTTCACTTCTGGCTTCCATGGCACTTTGCCAAGTCTTCCACATAAATCAGAAGATAACACGTAGTTGAATGCTTTGGGACAAACAGCAAGATAGTCCCTTTTTTGTTTTGTTTTGTTTGTTCTTGGCTTGTTTTTAAACATGGATTGGCAGTAGGGAGAAAAATGATTTAGGGGTTTGTCTGAATTGTGCCTTAAAGAAAGCTATAGTTCTAGCATCTATAGCAGTTGTTTAGACTGTGTCTTTTTCTCCACATCCATATGAATGATTTGACCAAGCCTGTGCAGCAAAACATAGAAACTTTGACTTAGGCACAGGTCTGTCAAAGCAGTTGAAGGACTGCAGGCTGTTAATGCATCCTCTTGGCTGATCTGTAGACCCTCTCCACTCTCAAACATTGGTAAAACATGTATGAAAGAAATGGTGGCTCTTCCCCCTAAGCAACAAGAGGTGTGTCATTAGTAGCTTTGTCTTGGCAAAGGCACATCCATGAGGGATGGGGAGGAATCTCTCCCAGTGGGCAATAAAGTACCTCAACCTCTGGTGTCCAGGCCTGTGTACAGCTGGCTTTTTAAACCAACCAGCAGTTTGAGTTCTGAGGACCTCTGTGGACTGCCTTGAGGCTGTTCAGTGCCAGCAATGCATGCTGCTCCCTCTGTCAGGGAGTTTTGCAGTGTTGTGTCCTCAGCTCAGAGCTTTGACTCCTGTGGGCTGGCAGACAGAAGAATGACAAGGAAGTAAACTAGGATCAGTGTAGGCCTTAGAGGGTACAAAAAAACCTGGTCAGTCTGCAGGAATAGGTATGAATGAATACTTCAGTTACTCAGTTGTCTCTAGTTGCTCATTTTAATTTGCTTTTATTATTTTTGATGCACTGAACCTTAATTTTAAATCTCCCTTCAAGAAGGCAAGCATGAGCCACCAAGCTACTTGCTTCCCTGCTGATGAGGGTACGTTGGGAAGGGCGGGTGAGGAAGGTCTTGCTGAAGGGAGTGTTTATGTATGTTAATTGCACAATGTGTTGTTATTAGGCTTTGTATCATTTTGTGTTGACTTCTATGCTTTCATGTTCTATTACCAATACAGCCCCTTTAGTTTACAGCAGCGCTTCTTTCCTTTGCTTCCCACACAATTTGGGCCAGCAGCGTCTGTCAGTGTGGCAACAGAGAAATGCCAGCTGAGTTAAATATTCAAGGCAGTCCCTTTTAAAGGTTTTTGTGGCAAGTTTAGAGCATTGGAATGAGAGAGCATTACAGGGGGCAGTCTCTGGCACTCCTGCAGCAAGGGTAGGCTCCTGTTCCAGTCAAAGGAAGTACACCCCAGGCCACAACAGGCCAGTAACCCACTGCTGAGAGCTCACTGACCAGGGGCTTAAGTGCCTAACCTAGTCTAGGCTTACCACAGTGCAATGTGTGCCAGTAGGGAAACAGTAGGATGAGAATAAAGCAGTGGCTGAGAAACAGGACAGAATGGGGAAAAAAACAACCAAATAAACAAACCAGGAGATTAAAAGGTCAAATTATTTTATTTAAAGCTCTACACAAGCACTTTGATCTCTGGGGGTTGATAGTAAATTGTCTTCTGGAAATGCTGATTCTCAAAGGCACAAAATGGCTACCAAGCTCTGAGGCACTGGAGAGGTAGGCAGACCATCTCACAGCCCAAGCAGCCATATCTCAATGTGGATGCTCCCTGCTTGCAGAGATACCTACATCCCATCTGCTTTTGTAGATGTAGGATTCCTCTGGTCCTGGAAGTCAGGGTGGAGGAGGAAGCATCTTTAGCTCAGCTATATACAGAATTGCAGTTACCTACAGATTACCCTTTGCATCAAGAGCTTGGTCCCTTCAGTTTACGACTGTGTCATAGGAGCCAAGGTGTGTATTCCACCAGGGCTGGGCAGAAAGCACCTGTCTGCAATCACAAAGGTCCTCTTCAAAAGGAAGAATGTATTGCCTTCCTGGATCAGGCCGGATGGTCCTGACTGTGTTTTGGCTAAGATGGCACCACCTTGAGCTCTGCTTGACCTGATTTCCAAGCACAAGTGTGCTGTGATTTCTGGTTTGTCTCCTGTCCTCGATTTGCAGCAAAAAAATCTTCCCTACAACAAGGCTTGGAGACAATAAACAAGAACAGTAATTTGAAATGCTGATCCTCACCCTTGGGGGAGGCACAGTGGTGAGAGGAGGAAGAGCTCCTTGCAGGAGTCATTTGTTCAGCAGGGAGAATTCTTGAGTGCAATCACATTGTCCAGCAGGCGTAAATAAGAGCAATCAGCAATGCCATGGCCACAGCAAGGGCAGCATTCTTGCGATTTTCCTTACGAAGCACACTCAGTTCTTTCTCTGGGAAGCAAACAAAAGACTTGCCTGTGAAGGTTCTTCATGTTGCAGCTACACCTCTTTTCAAAACTCTTAGAAGCACAAAGCTACCTTGGCCATAGGCAAAAATTTTGGGAGCAGTATGCAAAGCTGCCAACAGGATGTGCTGAATGGGAAGTAACTACCCAAACTAGTAGGAACCTTTTCATTTGCTCTCATCCTGACACTCGGGGTAGCTGTGCTTGGGAATACTTCAGTGCCAGGCCAGTTCCTGTTGGCAAATGACATTGCTGTAGGCCTCTACTAAGGCCAGACTGTGTCATCAGAATAACTGCTTGTTCCCTAAGAGAACGAAGGAGTCAGGAGGGCAGAGAGCTATTTCTACCATCTTCTAGATGTAACAGCCTGGTAGCTCTTTCTATTGCTAAAATTTAAATATAACTGCAGTGACCTTTGAGTGCTGCAGAATCTATATTTCCTTACATCAGAAGGATCAATGAGGAAAAGGTCTGAACCTGGACACTTACTCTGTTGGGGTCTGAAGCTTTTTAGAGATAGGTAAACTAGGGAGAAGGAAAGCAACTTAAGAACCACAGATGCAGAGAGAGGAAGACAGTGGGTACTTCAAGTATGGAGTCTTGCCAATCTCCATTTCTGTTTGGTTCCCTTTACCGAAGATGAGAACCCCACTCTTACTAGTTCTGTTCCACAAACTTTGATGGCTGGTAGAGGCAAGCAGTGAGGCCTCCAGCCTTACAGACTGCAAGGCCAAACAGCACTAAGTGTGTGGCAGGCAAGGTTGGGTGTGGACTGTCCAGAGACAGCCTGTTTTTGTTGCCGAGTTCATCTGCAGAGACCACACACGTTACTGTCTCTACAGTTTGCACAAGCAGCTTCCAGCTTTTGCACCCCAAGTGGTGCTGGTAATCAAAAAAGACTTCTAGCTGTTCTTTCTGCTCCATTGTTCACCTAATACAAGCATTCTCATGCAGCCAGAGAGCAATCTGCTTGAATCTGCAAGGCCACAAAGGAGGTGACGGGGTCACATAACCTCAGCACATGCACAGCAGTGCCAGCTTAAACTGATGCTGACAATGCCATTGTCAGCAGCTGCTGTTCATGGACTCAAGTGCATCAGCTGGAATAAGGAAAGATTTAGTCAGAGGCCAAAGCCGTGATGTCACCATTAGGTGAGGCTGTTGCTGCTGTCTGAGCTGCTGTCAGACTGCTCTGCTGATGCCACCAGGGATGGCTGACTGCTGGTAAAAGGGTGGCAGCAATTTCCAGTCTTCTGCTGTCTCTAGTGGTAGGCCCTTAGAGAACAGCTTTCAGTCTGTTTAAAGTAACTGTTACTCTTCTAGAAACAGTCCTCTAGCACAAGTTATAATTACAAATTTGCTGGCCATACCCCAGCTTTCAACCCTCTAGATCTAAAACAATCCTTGTGCCTCTTTCCTTGTGTGAGCTCTGCTGCTTGCAGATCTGCAGAGTACTGCCGAGCAGGTAAAACACTGATCAATACCAGGAGCCTGAAGATGTACAAAGCAGCACCTCTAGTGGAATGGAAGTCCTGTCAAGTGTGGTATCTCAGAGAGACTTTCATTCTAACTGTCTACAGTAGGACTTGCACCAAGGAAAGACCACATCCGTGTGAGTTGCTATGCTCTTCTGCTGAGTGGCCTCATAAATTGATGCAGTAAGAACCTTCCCCAAGGAAAGTATATTTTTCTACACTCCTGATAGCAATTGCCTTCTTGCCTAGCAAGCCTCTACTAGGAAAAAAAAAAGGTTGGGGAGAGGGATGTTAAAAGCTACTTGAGCCAATCTGTTAGCTATGATTATCTAAAGACTGGTAATTTGGGGTATGGGGAGGGGGACATTTTCTCCCCTTCATTAGCTGATGCTTATTTTTTTCCCTATGGAAGTACAGCTCAAGTAGGAGGATGCAGACTCCTATTATAATATGCTGACTACATTTCCATTAGTCTAGCTCCCTTTGGTAGAAGCTAAATTCAAAGGCAGAAGTCAGAGGTGGCAGGAGCTTGAAGACAAAGCTAAGCTGCAGCACTGATCCCATCCTGCCCAGAGGGACCATTTTTAATGAAGCTCTTACCATAGTTGTCAGCTTTGGTCATTAGTAAGTTTCGCTCTCTCTCCAGTGACTTTCTGTAATGAGAAGAGGAGTTCATTACCTGCGAGGCAGAACACAGCCTATTTCTTTGCTTACATGATGGAAGAGACACTGTCCCCACCGCTGGGGATATCTGCTCAGAGGATGAGCCCCTCACCCCTCCCTGTTGGAAGGGTGACAGTTTAGAAGTACCCAGTGCAAGAGAAGAGATGCAGCATTTTAGATTATTTTTTTCTTCCCCTAAATTGCTTCCTATCTCTCCTTTCAGGAGAGCAGTGTAGGCAAACAGCTAGAAAGGGCTCTTGGGTCGTTCCCCCTAGGTGAGGCAGGAAGTTCTGACACAGCTATGGGATGGGGCAGGGTCCTTATATCCTCTCTGGAGGATCCTGCCCCTCCACCACATTTGGCTTAGTGCTGGAACAGTAATTCTTCTCAACATTTGATGCTGGGACCCCTTTGTCAGAGGTATCCAATTTACAGAAATTGGTGAACTCGAGCAAACAAGCTGAATCCAAACCTAGTACTAATGAGGTAAACAACCTGTCATTAGACTGAAGACTCATAATAACAAAAAAGACTAAGTTAGGCCAACACAGCCCTTGTCTTAAACTGCACAAGATGATAAACCCAAAATAAAATTTCTGAAAGCAGCAGTGTTTCTATTATGGCAGTGAGGACGTGTCAGTCCTTTCAGACTCTGCACATAAATAAACATGCACTAACAAATTATATCCTGGTTCAGAGAAGGCAGAAAGTGTAATAGAGTTTGTTGTTCCCCTTGGGGCACAGCAAGAACAACCTGTAGGAGGAAAGAGATCCAAATCTATGTGTACAGCTAGTTAAGTGTAAGAGAGTACAAGAAAGCAAGCTACATCAGGAGCAGCAGGAAAGGGCTCTAAAAGAAAACTGGGTGGAGAGCAGCCAGGAGGAAGTGAGAAGACATTTACCAACATGACTGAGCTGCTACTTAGAAATTTGCCTTGTAAAGAGAGTCAAGGGAAGAAGCTTTGAGAAAGAGACATGAAGAAACCATGACAACTGAACTTCAAAGTAGAAAAGCAGAGCTCCTCCTTGTGTGCTATACACTGAATCAATAATTTTGATCACAGTACCTTCCCTCCAGGGTTTTTCAAAGGGTCTGGAATAGGACAATGGAAGTTCTGTTTCTATTTCCATACAAGCTGTAAAACTCACAGAGGGCCCCAAGAATCTTAATTCATAACTCTATAGCTCTAGGCCCTATATTTCAGTCAGAAGCTATCATATATCATACCCTGTCAAGTTATCACAACTGTAGGTTTGGTTGTTGGCCACCTAAGCCCCAAATAAAGAATACAAGCAGTAACAAGGGGAATTTAGGCCAGGACAGGATTGTTGCGATGAGGAACTACAGAGAAGAGGGACAGAAAGAGACAGGACCCTCTCTAAATATGGATGGGGATATAAAACTCCAGTAAAGGAAGAGGGGGGAGTGCAAAGGAGAGCTTAACAAAGAAGTTAAACTAAGCCTGATAAATATCAGGGGATGGAGACATCACTATTACTATGATCATTTCTAATGGGGTTCTACAGACAGTACTGTAGAGTGAAGACCAGGATCATCAGGACCACTCCCTAGGCTGATGACTGAGCTTCCCAGCCTTTTTTTGCTTCGAGCAGAGCAGTAGGATGCTAGTGACTGAAAAAATGTCCTCAAGCAGAGAGATTTGAGAATCAGCTGGGACATCTAAAATCTCTTGTTTCACACTCAAGAGAAACAGCAGGTTCTGCCTATGTCAACTACAAAATCCAGGCCAAAGTCCTTGCTTGAGTCCCAGCTCTAGAAGCAACAACTGCTGCCTCTATGGCAGCCACAGATTTCAGGGGAATTATCCCTCTTAGCATTCCCAAGAAAAGCCAGTGTGTTAATTCATCCCTATATCCAGACACAATAGCAACACAGGCACAGATATTTTCCCTCAGCTGCTTTTGCAGCTGGATCCCAACCTGGTTTAGCCCTCAGTAGTAGTCACTGCACATCTCCCTGATTGAACCCAGGTGGCTTCAGCAAGGCTTGAGCAGCAGCGTGCAGAAAACCTTTGCCAGACTCACAGAGCAGGTTCATAACAGGCCAGGAGCCAGGCCTGCAAATGAACTGGCAAGTGTCAGGCACTACTTCTCTGGTTGTGGCACAGCTTGGAGTTAGGCTGTTAATAAGATACAGCTCTATCTCTATATCACTGCACTTCTCACAGGGGCAAGTTCCCCAAGAAAGCTTCAAACTGTGGGAATAGAGTCTTGTTATGGGGAAATCACACATTTCCACCCCTTCAAGAGCCCTTGTTTGCTCCTGCAGCATGATGACAGCTAAGCTAAAGTGTACACACAGCTGTGTAAGCAGCTGGTCAGCAATACCTTCCTTCGGGGCTGAGCTTCTCCCTGCGCAGCTTAAGGTCCACCTCCTCCATGCTCTGTCTGCAGCGTGCCAGCTTCTCCTCCAATCCATCAATCTGAAAAACATCACAGCAGTCACCATCATTTCTTCTCCCAGCTTACAAGGACTCATTCCCATTCAGATGGTGGTAGTTCAGCTACTATTCCTCCCCAGACCAAGGGAAGAATCCCAGATCTGTGCAGAGATCATAGCACAGAGAGCTCATCATCTCCCAGGTCAGCCTGTATTCCAGCCTAGACAACTGTAACATCATCACCCTAGACACAGCCAAACCAGCCCTGATACTGCCTATTGTGTGGCCAGCACCCTTTTGCTAGGATCTGATCCTGTTCCAGCCTGCTCTAGTTTCTTTGCATGTGGATCTACAAGCAAAGGTGTGATCTTAGGTATCTTTATGCAATTAAAGGATAAAAAGAGAGACACTGGCCTAAACCAAAGCCTGAGGAACAGGGTCTTATTTTAGCACTGTGAATGGATGCAGAAATCTACAAAGCACCCTCAGCTGTCTGGTTGGGTGAAGAGGGAACAAAGGGATACTTCCAGTCTCTTTTACCCAACTAAATCTAGAACAGCAACAGGAGTCTGCACAGTATAGTCAAGAGAGCATTCACCACTGGCTCCTGCAACCTGTACCAAGTGCTGGCACCAACATGTTTCCATGCAGAAAAACATTGGTTATAGTGGCTTCATCAGCTCTGTCACTGCCCACAGCTTCAGTGCCACTTGATTATAGATTCAGTTATCTCCTTGTGTCTCTTCATCAAGTATCCCAACAGCCACCCCTGTGTCTTCCTGTGGAGGGGAGTAACCACAGCTAAGCACAGGAGGGTTCATTTCCTTGTATGCAAACAGACTGCTCAGGAGGGAATCCTACCATGGCCAACAGTTCTGGGAATCATTCCTCTCTTCTGCCTGGCAACCACAGCATAGACATCTCAAGGAAAACTTTGTCTTTCAAGCTTGCTTCCAGCAGGGAAACTAATCAGGCAATATGAACACAACAACCTAGCCTGAAAGAAAATGGCCTCGGTGCACTAAGGTGGCAATGACCTCTCTTTTGAGCTACTTAGTGCAACACTCCTGCTGTGCCTGGTTCTCCAGGGAAGGCCAAGGCTGGCAGCACGGCCTCCCTGTGGTGGGAGCTTTCACACACCAGACGCTAAGAGGCAGCACAGTCCCGGGTAAAGGTGGAATGAGCTGCCTGGACACCAGCCTCAGAAGCAGCCCAGAGCACAAACACACTCATAAACAGTAATAAGGGAAACAAAATCAAAGGTAGCGATCCCTAATTATTGCTGCTTTGGGGATCAGCTCTGTTCTGATCAGCTCCTGTTAATGAGCTCATTAACAATCTCACACCTTCAGCTCAGGAAAAGCAGGCAAGCATTATAACTAAGCAGGACTGCAGAGAAGAGGCTTGACACAAGGCAGACCATGAAAAGAAGTTTAACCAGTCAGTTAAATAGTCTGGAAGGAGCACAGCAGAGCTGGGGAGGCAGACATATAAGGCTCAAATAAATCTTTGATTTATCAGACAGCAATCTCAAAGTCTTGGGCTATTAGGCAACTCTGCCAGTGCTCAAGATGCCAAACTCCCCAGAGGCACATGTACAGCTTCCTGAGCCCAAGGGGAGCACCAAGGCATATCACCTGATCCCAAAGCTCAGGGAATAGCACTTCAGTGTTTGGCAATGCTTGGGTTTGCCTGGATGAGGATAATTGTCCTCCTCCATTTCCAGCTGTGCCAGTTAAGAATGTTAACTGTAGCTGCTCATCACCATGTCATGCACTACAACTCGGTCAGCATGATGCATTGCCCCAGTCTGCTTCAGGGACAAAAAAGGACTTCACCCAGGCCAGCTCTGACCACACATATCAGCAAGTTAATTTAATAGCACAGTGTGGTACAGCAGAGGTGGAGTGTTGATCCAGTGAAATTTAAGAATTACCATCTCCCTCACCAGTTCCTACCATTTGCAAATGGCTGTTTCTGCTCCCTTAGCTGTTGGAAACCCTTACATGCACACACAGGAAAAGATTCTTCAGCATGTGTTACCTGGCTCCTCTTTAGCCTGTTACATTATTACAGTGCACCATGGCTTCTCTGGAAATGTATTTTAAACTAATGCTAAATAATACATTAAAGAATTAACGAGAGCTTTAGTTAGTCAGCTGCCAACCCCACCACTAAATTATCCATGCTACTGCACTCCAATCCTCTCCTCCATGCCTGCTCCTCCTAGCTGGCAGTTGCTCTCACTAGTATATTCTCTGCCCATACTTCCCTCATTTCATGAGACTTAACAAGAGTATATTCTGCCCAGCTTTGTCAGTGCTTTCACTTTCTGCTGACTAAAAATCTCCAGATTCCACATAATACTTTAAAGTTTCAACTGATTTTACTGCTCTTAAATCAAAACCCAAGTTTGGGTCCCCTGCTGGAGAGCAATAATTTGCTAATAAACCACATGCCCAGAACTGCACCATCAGCTGTGCTGAGCTGGGGGCACAAGGGATAAAAAATAACCAGAAAAAAAAGAAAAAGCAAGAAAGGAGGAACAGATTGCTGAATGAACAAAACACTTTTCTTTCAGAATCTCACTACTTCTTTTCTTCTGGCTAGCCTGGATTATTAGGGGTTATAAGGAAGGACAAGAGTGGGGATTCACAGATGTTATCTATTCACTGTGTCTCAGTTTCCCTACTTATAAATTAAGACAATATAATCTGCCTCCTGCAGGCAGCTTATTTGAATAAGAAGACACCGACCCAAACTATGGGCAGAGCATTATCTTGATATGTCAATGCCATTGCCTTGCTTGGCATTTAGGAGCTGCTCCTGCAAGCCAGGAGTGTCTTGGCAACTCAGCCATCCAAGTAACTCTTCACTGCAGAACAAAAGAAAGAAACAGAAAATAAGCACAGGGAAAAAATCAGAGTAATGCTGGGCAACTATTGATTACTCTCTGGGCTGCTAAGGAAACTCCTAGGAGGGGCCAGAGTCTGTAAAATTGTAGCACAAGAAAACCTGTAGGGCTTTGCCATAATTCCCTGCTACAGCTAGTCCTCCAGGAGAGCAATCCTAGAAGCAGGTGCTCACCTGAGCTTGCTGTGGATGGAAAGCTTTCCCTCCCACTAAAAAATACATGCGGTTAGTTGGGGTACATACCTGTGCACACTGGAAGCCCACAGGAAAACAAGGAGCCAAGCTCATTTAGCTGAACCACCCTTGCACTTCACACTGCTTTATCTCTTTAGTGGCAATCTCAGCACAGTGCCTCCTAAGTTGCAAAGATGAACCTTTCCTCCTTTTAGCCCTCCCTTCCTTGAAGGGGATCCTCTGGGACAGAGCTGAAATGCAGCAAGCAGAAAGCTCACAGGACAGATCCTCAGGCTCACACACATGGTAGCAGGGACACAGGACTTCACTCACAGCAACATTCTTTAAGTAGTTCCAGTTAAAAAGGGGAAGTGAAACATGTACTTCACATCCAGGCAGCAGATCTGGGCACACAGAGCTGCCCTTCTGAAGCTCCTCAGTAGACACTCCAGAAAGTCAAGTCCCAGAAGCTTTGGATACACACAGGGATCTAAGACCAGAAGCCTCCTTTGCTCCACAGGTATGACAAGGCATTCAGCTATTTTTGCTAAATCTGGCAACACTTGCTCATGATCTGGAAACCTTTTTAAACTAGAGAGACCTGGAATGGATTTCAATCCAAACTGACTTACCTGCTTATTACAAACTCTATTTGTTGGGACCATCTTGCGCAGAGAGCCCAAAATGTCTCACATAAAGGCAGAGACAAAGAGAGAAGTGAAAAAGAAGCAGCTTTGCTTATAGAATTGAGCTGGACCCCATTTAATACATTTTGTAGCGAATTAATGAAAGCTTTCTTTTCAGCAGAAAGGCTAAAAGCGCTTTTCAAGAACTGGCATCCACCCTCCGCTTTTATGAATTCCCTAATTAAGATACTGGCAAAGAGCCATATCACACATACATCGACATCCAACAGCATTAGGTAATGAGGTTTTCATCTTCTGACCCTCATAAAACAGATCAAAGCCAGCTGAAGAGGTGGGGGCAAAGAAAAAACCCCTTCCCTGAGCAGTCTTTACATGCCTTGTCACCTGCCAGCACACTTGAGCTGTTCTTTCACAGAAGAATTAATGGTTCCTGCATCCACAAATTTGGTTGGATTATTAAAATCAGTCCAGCAGAGACAAATTTTGTTTAAGTTCAAGTGCTAACTTGCTGTTCATGGACACATTTCCATTTTCTCCATGCTCTTGGAACCATTTTGCATGCTGGAAAACCATTTCACAGACATGCTGCCCACAGCATGCTTGGAAATATTTACCACCTATTCAGAGCAGAGGATGATCCACCAGCAAGGTCTAAGATGGCTCATGCAGAACAACCCTGTGTGTTGCTAAAGGAGGAAAGGCTGGATCCTACCTACACCTCCTCCTCCAGCTTTGCAGGGACCATCTTGTTAGTCAGTGCATCCTGCCTCAGTGCAGACCAGCGGCTTTGCAGGACCACACACAGATGTGACCACAGGGCATGTGAGCCAGATTTTCAAAAACTTCTGCAAGAACAACTTCACTGAGCATGAACTGTGTCAGCCTTTTCCCTTTTCTTTATGTTCCTTCATAGACACTGATCAGCCATTGCCCTGTCAGAAGCAGCAACACATGTAACAATACTTTATAGAAACACACACCTGACATTTTGCTGGCCAGGCACTGCCTTTAATTTAATGAACTCTGATTTTTTTCAGTTGTTGCCTGAGCCACAAGTATATTTTTAGTGGTTACAATATCCTTTGGCAAGAAGTTTCACAAGAGGTTATGGGAAGAACCAACCCCTCCTGTTTGTTCTGAGCTTGTCAGCTGCTGGTTTCATTTGATAGCCCTAACTTTGTATTAACAGTGTATGTTCATTTTTCATTTAAAGCCACAAACAGTATGCAGAGGATATAGGCCTATATTGGGTGCCCTTGCAGTCAGGTTTTCCAGCTTAAAAGGACCTGGAATGCTTGGTAGTTTCCTTCATAAAAGTTCTCCACACCTTTGGTCATCCACGTCACTCTCGAGTAAATTCCATTTTCACTATTTTGGTAGAAAATGGACCAGCAGTCTTGCCAGTTTCATTTTCCTGAAGAGTTTCCTCAAGCAACTCCTATGCAGCTCAGCATTGTCAATAGGGCTGCCTGTCAAAAGACTAGAGCTATATGAAAGAAGTGGCATGAAATTAAACCAACACAACATTATGGAGACCCATTTATATCTATTTAAACCAGATCATACCAATTACATCTGCAATTTGTAAGTGCAAGCTAATCTGATAAGTGTCCATATAGAAAATTGCATTCATTTAGCATCATGACTTCAGTTAAACAAGCATGACTCTGCCTAGATGAGGCCTTTCAAAGCTAGTCATGCATCACACCATACTAAGACTAATTTGAAAAGTTTTCTTTACAATCATAACAGCTCAGAAGGTAATACTGAACAGAGTAATTTTAACTTATGAATCTAGTATCTTGGTTGTCATGCAAACTGAAACACAGCCCTCTTTTCCTCTGGCTTAAAGGCATTTTTTTTAGTTCCTCCCTAACTTCTCTTCAGCAGTGTTCTCATCACTGCAAGTGGAAAGAATTTTATCTTGTAGTAGTGTCTTTGCACGGAGATTTTTACCTGTAACGCACAAAAAAGAGTAGTTTCAAAACTAGTATGTTCTGTCCTGAAAACTTCTAAAAAAAAACCCCAAAACTTAATCTAAAGCTACTACAAGTTCTCAAACACTTTGCAGGAATTTTCTGTGGCAGCTAAAATCAGTCCCTCTTCATTCTGTGAACAGCAAGTCCCTAACAGGCTGAGCCATTTTGCGACCTCTCTTTTTGTAAGGTAGACCCTACCACCTCAACTCTTCTTGTGTGCCACTTCTCAAACCACAACCAAAAAAAAAAAGTAAAATCACTGTTCAATTCTCTCTGGTAGGCTCGCCAAAGGAAGCCTGGACACCCCTCTGGACTCCCTTTGGTGGTTATTTGGGTTAGAGTGCCCAGAACTGTGTTTCTCTAATGAAAGTCTAACCAATGAAACAACCACATAACCATAAACCCAACTCCCATTCCACACAGCAGGATGAGAGGGGGTCTCATCAATATATATAAATATCTTAAAGGTGGGTGTGAAGAGGTTGGTGCCAAACTCTTTTCAGTGGTGCCCAGTGACAGTAGGAGGAGCAATGCCTCTAAAACACAGAAGTTCCACCTCAATGTGAGGAAAAAACCTTTTTACACTGAAACAGACCACTGAAACAGGCTGGCAGGCTATAGTTTCCCTCTCTGGAGACATTCAAAATCTACCTGGTCACATTCCTGTGTGACCTGCTCTAGGTGACCCTGCCCTGGCCAGGGTGTTGGATGAGATGCTAACCAAAGGTCCTTTCCAGCCCTAAGGATTCCGTGACACTCACCTTTACGTTACTAGCTGATGATACATATATGACATGCCCTGCCATTTTCTGTGCCTTTCCACTCTGGTTACCTTGGTCTGTTGTGCATGTGCTTACCTGAAAACACTTCAGGGCAGAGAGGTGACCAGTGAGAGTCACTGAATGAATTCTGCCCCATTTCAGCCATTTGTGAGGTACATTCAGGATTTGCTGTCCCCACAGTATTCAATCCCAGAGACTTGAACTCAGACCTGAGCCCAGACAGCACTGTTCAGTGCAGGAGCCAGAAAGACACATGCTTCAGAGAGATCCTAACTAACACAACTCAGGATGTTTACAGAAAGACAAAGCTTCAACAGAGCTTACCAGCAGCCCTCCTGCCACCCAGGAAATCACGGAATGGGTAAGATTTGAAGGGACCACAGTGGGTCATCTGCTCCAACCTCCCTGCTCAAGAAAAGTCACCCTCAAACACATGGCACAGATGCAATCTCCAGTGAGGGAGAGACAAAGCACCCAAGCACAACGAAAAGGCAGTTTCAGAAGGGAGACATACTCTTAAAACGCAGCCTTTCCCCTTTCTCCTCGCTGTGATTTACGGGCCCCTCACATGCCGGTTTACCGCTGGGCTGCTCTCAAGAAGCAGCAGCAGCACACGGCTGACTCCCAGCGCCGCACGCACACAACGGGCTGCTGGTCACGGCCCCCGCAGCACCCTCACGGCACTGGCTCAAGGGCTGGGCAGGAGCGAGGACACCGCACGCCGCCGCTCAAGGCGGGAGTGAGGATGTGGCTCCAAGCCCCCGCCAGCCCGCCCGCAGCAGCCGCCAAGCCCCCCTCACCTCCCGGGCCACGCTCGGCCCCGCTCGCCGCCTGCCCATGGTCCGGCCCCGCCCGCCGCGCATGCGCGCGCCGCCGCCGTGGCGCGGGGCCGCGCGCTGGGCTGGGCTGGGCGGGTGCCATATTGGGGGGGTGCCGCTGTCTGCCCGCGCCCATGGAGCCGCTGCCCCGGGACCGGGGCCGGCCCTGCGAGCCCGCTCGGCCTCGTTCCGACACAGCCCAGGGCGAGCGGCAGCCAGAGCGGCGCCTCCCGCCTTGTGCCGCTGCTGGCCGCATCCTGCTGTGCCCTCTGTAGTGGTGGCGGATGAGGGATGGCTGCGGGAGGACCAGCAGGCTGGGAAGGCCGGGAAGCTGAGATGGGACTTCTTGGTCATGCCTGGTCCTGCCTCTCCGCCCCTCAGAGACCCGGCTCCGTCGGGTGCTGTCTGGGCAGATCCGAAGTGACCAGCTGGTTTTCCCGCAAGTGGAGCCAGCACATCCCTGGCCACTCCAAACCTGGGCTTGTAGTGCCCGGCGTCACTCAGGAAGAAGGCAGCCTCGGAAACACCAGGCGAACCCAGAACGGCTGCTTTGTGCCATGTTGGGATAAATGAGAATGTTTTTGGACATCAGGAGGGATTTCTGCACTGAAAGGGTTGTAGACATTGGAACAGGCTGCCCAAGGAGGTGGTGAAGTCACCATCCCTGGAGGTGTTTAGGGAAAGATGATGTGGAACACAGTGTCATGGTCTGGTTGACAGAATGGTATTTCATCACAGGTTGGACTCGGAGGTCTTTTCCAACCTAATTGATTCTGTGATTGTCTTATTCAGAGTGTCCTTGGGGCTTCCTACTCAAATGCTAGCGTTGTGTTAAAGTGGCTGAGGAAAAGCTGGCTGT